CTCACTCGCACTTTGGCTGTGAGCTGCGGGTGCCAGACAAGCCAACATCCTCCATTTTCATCACTTACAGCGCCCATCGTACAGGGCAAATGAAATGTGTAACCGGGGTGAAAAGGGTGTTACATTTACTTAATTATGAATGTTGTTACATCAAGGCCGAAAATTAGGATGAGCACCAACGGTCAAAAACATTTTTTTCCCTCCCAGAACTGCCAGCGCAGCGCCTCCACAGATCTGGCGCCCTAGGCGAAAATCAACGCCAGTGCGACGGGCCGGCCCTGAGTTCATATGCAACTCGCAAATATCTTTCTCTCTCTCTTCTCTCTCCTCTCTTCTCTTCTCCCTTCTCTCTCCCTCTCTCTCAATGTTGGTACGCAAATGCGCCTTTTTTCAAATGACCCGGTGCTCTTTTTTTTGGCCGAGGTGCGCATACGCACCTGCGCACCAGTTATGTGCAGCCCTGCTTATATTGTAAAACGATTTTGAGTCCTTGAAAAGCCCTATACAAATGTATTATTATTATTATACTGAGAGGTATCAGATCTTGCTGTGTAAAATAAGAGGTGTCACTTGTGATGTAGTCTGTGTGGTCTACAGTGAATGTATTCCTGACAGCAACAAGTGATAAGAATCAAAGGTTCCCATAGGATCCCATAGGAAATGCATGCGGGTCATTTTTGACCCACTTATGGAAGCTTGGGGTAGTAATACAAAAACTACAATTTCTTAAAATGTATACAATTTAAATAAAAATGTTGAATGGCAGGATATCCAAAACATGTTTCCTGAGGAATAGCTGGAATATGAAATGATAAAAGAAATTAAGAAAGTAATTACAAAGATACTCTAAGAAAACCACCTCACTGGGTCAAAAAAGACCCACTTATGCATCTAAGGGTTAAAATCCATGACAGTGTCTAGTCTGCACTGCCTGTATAGAATTCAAAAGAACAAGGCGTGGCTTTAATTAAATGACAAGGACAGTAAATATTGCACCGTGGGTTTTATTCTCATTGGAACAGGATGGAAGTCCTGAATTGTCACATAGTAGCTCAACTGGCTAACCAAGAAAACGACTAAACCTAACCACACACCTCTTTCTGCCATGCAATAAACCGTTGGAGCTCACAAGTCATAACAAATAAAGATTGGAGTGAAACTAAATATGCAAAAGTGTATATAGATGATTTGTCTTTTATAAATAATGAGCTCCGTAACTAAAGAAACCAATTATTGTGTTATGTATCTAGGAATGATTGCAGGGTGTCAAGACAAGCTGGAAATAATCTTGAGTGAATAAAAAGCTCATATATCACTTATCTCAAAGCCTCACCTGTGAAGAGGAAGAAGATGAGGACCATAATCAACGTGTATCCGAAGTAGAGGAAGGTGCTGGCAGCGCCAACAATTTGTAGCTTTGAGAAGAAGTAATGCACAGAGTAGATGAAGAGATAGACTGCTGTGAAGCCGCTGGTGAGGAAGGAACGCCACCACCAGTGGTAGTCCTGCACACACATCACAAATAATAACATGTTATGTGTACTTGAATTACTATAGGCAAAAAAGTACGAGTATAACATTTATTTTTAACTCATCTTATTCTATTTTACTTGTATATAGTTCACTTAGTCTTGCAACATTCTCTTGCACTATTTCATTTCCACCTGTTTCTCCTTGCACTATTTTTATTGTTGTTTTATGACTTATATATATTTATATTGCATTGTTGGAGGAGCCTGGGTCTTAAGATTTGTATTGCCATAACTACAATGTGGCCACAGATGACGATAAAGCCTTTGAACCTTTAGACCTTTAGTCAGGAGAGTGACATTAAATAACATATCTTCAAAGGCAAGATCTAGAGAAGAATACTAACTTAAAATATATGAATATATTCATTTGGATTTCTTTCATTTCTACAACAGTGGGACTATGATATTACAATTATAGTATGATTGAAGTATTTTCAAGTTTCAATTGTTTTTCCGGACTCAAGTTTGTGAACTGAGACAAAGTTGTCGATCGCGATCGACCGGTCAATCGCGGGGAGATTCCCAGTCGATCGCGAGATGTGTCTAAAAATAGAACAACAATATTCAGTTTTATCGTTAATGTCCTATAACATAATCTTCCTGTGCCAGAATAATGCACTTGAACGCATCAAAGCTTTGTGATTGGCCGGCGTGACCCCATGTGTCGGGGCGTGGCTTGTGGCTTGTGGGCAGTGGGCAAGATGGGTCTGTCTGCAGACCGCAGCAAGGAGGCGGATCGTATAGGGGCGGATCGTATAGGGGCGGATCGTATAGGGGCGTTTCCTAACTTTTTTTATCCAATAGAATAATGACACTGCTGGTTAGCATCACAGCATATACGCTAACCTTAGGTCAATTAGATGATCAGCTTTGGTAACACAAATCAGTATTGTTACCGAGCCTGATCATCTATTGACCTATCTAAGCTTAACGTTATTACAACAGTAGAGTAGGCCTGGTTGCAAATGGGACTATATGCCAACGTGTTTATAGCATCATGCTAAGTTAGCATTTAATACCACAAACATTTTTACCACATACAACTATTATTTACTTTATTAACGCTTAACGAGGTTGGACAGTCGATGTTGTACTTTGATAACGAGACAATTGTGTGTTAAGAAAAATGACATTACAATAAATATAAACATGCATCTCTGGAAAATACTATTACTGCTGTTTCAACTTTTTGTTCGGCCATCGTGAAAGAACGAATGACTTATTCTGCGAGGATTTATAAAAGCAGCTGGAATCCCTTAAATTGCATTACTGCCACCTACAGTATGTATTTCTGCTGAGTGTCATTATTCTATTGGATACAAAAAGTTAGGAAACGCCCCTATACGATCCGCCCCTATACGATACGCCTCCTTGCTGCGGTCTGCAGACAGACTCTATTGCAGTGGGCTGACGTGACGTGGCAGTGGGCAACGTTCGATGACGTTGTCCGTGTCAACAGGAGTGACAGTCCGCACACACACAAGACCGCAATGGCAGAAGCAAAAGAGCACCAAATATATCATTTTCACTCGGAGTGGGAGGATGATTATTTTTGTATCTATTCCAATTCAAAGTCCATCTGTCTCATCTGCAATGCGAGCGTGGCTTTATCGAAGAATGGTAATTTAGGAGCGGCATTTCAAAACAGTGCACAAACGCTACGAGACGGAATTCCCTCCTAATTCTGCCCTACGCTCCCAAAAGGGGAGGGGCCTGAAAGGACAGCTAAATGCACAGCAGTCCATTTTCACCAGGCCCAACAACAAGAGCAAGGCTGCTACCAGAGCATCTTAACGTGTCAGTCACGTTCTTGCGAAACACATGAAGTCTTTCAAAGACGGCGGAGTTGTGAAATAAGCATTCCTGGAGGCTGCTGACGCACTTTTGGGGGACAGTAAAAATAACAGTAGAATTTCAAAAGGTTTTTGATATAATAAAAACTCAAGTTAGATATCGTTATTAATCAGCTGTAAGTTTTAGTTTGTTTGAACTTATTCATTATAATTATTGTACAAAATGGTATAAGAATGCAAACATTAAGATCTGTTCTGTTTTAATTGATTATAGTCTATTATCAATTCAGGTTAAGAAACTAGTATTGCTTGCATCCTATTTAAAAAAAGGCATTTATTTTTATAATCTACTAAAATGCAACAAAAAAAAAGGGTTTGATTCTATTAATTTTGTCTTTTTTATTGCACGTTGGCAGCAGATTCCTGTAGCTTCAGATCTGAGTTGTCTTATTAGTAAGCCTAATTTATACTTTTGTAGCAACGCTATTTTTATATAATGGCAAAGAAAGGGTTCAGAGTATTTTCTTTTTCCCTGTGTCATATGTGGCAGCACTGTTCAATGCTTCTTGAAAACATGACCCACTGTAGTATGTGACGTGTGGATAAACTCCAACTCTGGATAAACTCCAACTCTGTATCAACAACACTGTTGTGTAACTTCAGTTAAATACTTGTATGTGTGTAGATTAGAAAGAGGTAAGATAAAGGATCTGCAGTATTTTATGAAGTATTAATCGTACGAAGGTCAGTTTTATACAAGTAGAAGTGTGTATACTATTGACCTGGTAGTAGGCTGTCAGTAATGGCTACGCCTCTCTATTTGGACTGGTAGATCTCGGCAGACTGGCAACTTTAAAAGTAGCTCTCGGTTCAAAAAAGGTTGGGCACCCCTGATGTACTGTAACAAAGAGCTCAACCACACCTTCCCTTTCAAATCAGGAAATACAGCATGTCTGTGTTCTTACCAAATGCTGTTGAGAATGAAGAACAGTTGGATGAAAATGCAACCAAAGGGCAGGATCCCGCCCATTACGATACCAGGTACAGGCTTTGTAAAGAAAGACTGCTCAGGAATTTGACGAGGGATTTGATTTGTTCTCACTGGTTGCTCGATTGCCTGCATGGCAGCAGAAAGAGAGAGGATTTTATAACAAACTCAAGCATATTTGATCAACAATCAATTATTTCAAGATCATTTGATAAACTCGGAGCTCTAACTCACAGCTTTCTTGAATCCAAAGTAGGCGCCGAGGAAGGTGAGGGGCATGGAGATTCACAGCCATGTCACTGTGATGAACACCACCACACATTTAGCTAGAAGGATATTATGTGTAATGTTACATTTTTCAGCTAAATAGAAAAGTATTATCCATGGGATCAAAAACATGTGCAACATTTTAAAGTAACTATTGAAACCCAAATAACATAGCCTCAATAGTGTATGGTCATCAAAGCTTTTAGTATGACTATAATGCTAACGCTAAAATGGTACCATCTCATTTGAATATTTAATGTGCATGGTGGCGACACGTTGCCCTGCAGCACACAAAGAAGACAAAAACGAATGAGATTCAAATTGTACACTTTAACAACATAATCTGCATCTTTAAGAAATGTCTATTTGTATGCTAGTGCTTCATATATGTATCTATATCATGTTTTACAATGCCTTTACCTGGTCCACCTGGTTGTATCTGGCAATGTCCTTGTGCAGAGTTCTCAGCATGATCATGGCAACCATGCCAGACAGGAAGAGGACAATGACCAAGGAGTTCATGATGCTGGACAAACACATAAGACATACCATAGCATCAAATAACAAGCATCAAGACCAAGGGAGTTTTAGTGAGACAGAGTTTCTGTGGTGCGCAATGTAGAAAACATCTTCAAACCTAAACCACTGTATGTTGGTGTGAGGCATGGACACCAGGATGTAGTCCCACCTAGAGGCCCACTTGATAGCATTGTTTTCCTGTAAAAGGAATTACATTCAGTGCAACAACAAAAAAACACACATTGTATTTGTCATTCTCCAAGTCATATAGAAAATGTATACATTAGTTATGTACAATACGTTGTACATTACAATTGGTGAGATGGTGGGAGACCTACCTCAAATGTAACCGAGTAGGTGTAGACTATTGACACATCGCTATCGAACGCCCCAGGGACCTCCATCGGGATGGCTCCTTCGCAATTTGGGTTTTTTTCCATCTGCCTGGTTGATACTGTGCAAAACACACAAAACCTTCCATGTTAGATTATGAATAGATCAAATGATGGTTATGAATGGTGAGATGTCATTCAGTTGCAGCACGTTGAGGTAGATTAGACGTCATAAGATGTCAAGCTACAATCAAAAACCAGTAACCTCTTTGGCTCCAGAGTGGCAGCAACCAGCCGAGCCCCTCTCCATCCCTCCGCTTCTCCACTGTGGTAAGATATCTTGATGTCCACATGGTTGAAGACGTAGAATGTGTTCTTCTTGTGGAACTCAGCCTAGGAAAAAAATGATTGTATTAATTATCAGGTTCTCTGATTTCGCATCGGTGTGTTAAGTATCTCCAATGCAGTTATCAGCTAATTCATATTATAAAATGACCTGTAAATACACCTTAACATAGAACCTTTAGGTGTACTTTTCTGGCTCTATATGAGCTGGACCCATTCATTTGGCTTACCTTTTTTCTTTAATAATTTATATGAATGATCTACAAATATAATAAAATAATGTTTGCTGGTTTTAATTTAAAGTTAATGTAAATTAGACAACATTTGAATTCTAATTACAATATATTATGCTATAAAAATCACTAAAATAAGCAAATTGATCAAAGTAGGCTCAGGTTCTACCCGTAGGTAGATTTAGTATGCAGATAAAAAGACAAGGGACCCATCCTGACACACATTCTAAGAACAACACAGACAAATCTCTAATAAAAGTACACCCTGCTCCGTCACCTCTAAAAACATTTTAAAAAACAGTAGTACAATCATGGGCATTGAAAGTTAATAAATAAATAAATAAATAGGCATCTGTGTGACACCGCTACGACTTATTCCTTTGTGCGATAGCTGCCGGAATAAAGCTGGTTTTACACCGCTTTGTTTTACACTTTGGGATAACTAACATCCGGCCCGAAGGAAGAAGCTTAAATTCTGAGTGCAGCGGGTGGGAGTCATCATTCAATAAAGAGCTGGGTAACCGCTGTGACTGCCTGAGGTACAGGGTCTCCAGGTTTAGCTGTGGGTCACCAATCAGTCTGCAAGACCACTTTATGATCCGAGGGCTCTTTAAAGGCAGGTTACCAAACCATGACATTAAAAGGACAGAATTTACTTAGGTAACACATGGGAGATTATTTATAGTTTAGTAAATTACTATATATTTCAGGGAGGCCCCTACCCAAAACAAGCATCCCAGGTAACGTACTATATCATTATGAGGACAACTCCTCAATCAGATGAGCAATTAGGTCAAACTTAATATAGAGTTCATTTTCGAAAAAATAAATCCAAACTCACATTGATAACGCAAGCATCTTTAGGTTTTCCATCTTGGTTCACAAGGCAGCCAACAGGGAAGCCCGGGTTGCAGTACTTCTGATCATCTTCAACATCATAGCACCATGTCACCGGCATGTTGTCAATTATCCTGAAAAGAAAAATTGGCTTACTTCAACAACTTCTTAACAAATACATTATTTGCCTGCTCGTGTTGGATTGTATTTCTGTTGTTATCCCTTTAACAAACAAAACCTCATGCTATTATTTACATAACATTTCAATGCCGTATTCTTTACAAACCAGTGGTGCTGGTAGTTCAACTGCATTCCCATCTTGAGGAAATTCAGTTTGGTTGCATCCTCTTTGTTCCCCTTTTTGTAAGACTTGGTGCACAAACTCTTACATTTAACATCTTCTGGAAAGTTGACCTGTTAAGGCAAACAACAGTCATTCTTTTCAATTAAAAACATTAAAACAGATGTATGGAATGTGAAATAAGAAACAGTGTAAGAGAAGCAAGCTTAGATGTTTTGGTTGACACCCACCTTGTAGGGAGAAGACTCAATTCATTCACCAAACAGCACCTGTCCTAGGTTCTCAGAAGGCCTCGTTTCCATTTCATCTTTGCAAAAGTCGAACCTTTTAACATATAATGAGAATATATTAGTGACCTAGAAAACATAGGTATATCAAGATATTGCACAGATGGAATGGAATGAAGCAAGGCAAGTTTATTTATAGAGCACCTATCCGCACAGGGCAACCCAAAGTGCTTTACAAAATAAGATAAAAGACATTTAAGAACAATATACAGATGAAGCACATTATAAAAAGGCATTTTAAAAACAAGCATTTAAAAAGCAAATATAATAAAATCAACACAACAGGTATAAAATACATGGATAAAAAGCCATACTGCAGTTAAAATGTGTAAAAAGTAGAAAGTTAACGTTACTTACATATCATACTCGTAAGGCAGGACTGACTCTACTGAGTCAAGGCGATTGACAAACAGCTGAATCACTGTCTGTAGAAGAAACACACACAATTGTCCGTCAAAAAAAAGGATGTGTTTAACTGAAAAAAACATTGTCTCAATCGAGACAAAGGTATTTGTCAATTTTTTTGGTTTCAGTCATACAACAAATGTTAGTAATGAATCTGTCGTAACCAATTAATTGGTTAAGCTGTGATATATCCAGGGGTGCACATCACTTTTTTGCCCTGGTTCTCAAAGGAGCACCTGGAGATGTTGCTTGGTGCTCATCCTTAAAATGAAATAAACCGTAACTTTTGAGGGGGTCTTGACTTTATTTGTCAGACACACGGCACTGAACACACATGCAGAGGTGAACACAGAACACACATGCAGAGGTGAACACAGAACACACATGCAGAGGTGAACACAAGACAACATTAGCACGACCAGTAATCCTACAAGCTGTCATCACTACCCTCCTGACTGTTCTCCTCACTGTCTTCCTCTCTGTCAGACATGGTAGCTGATGATGTAGGCCTACTACTTTCTCTCTGGTTGAGTCTGCGATTAGCTGCTTGCATCCACAAGTCAACATCTGGTTTTGGGTCGAAAGTCCAGTTTTAAAAGGATATGTTTGGTTACTGTCCTATAGTATACATTGGAATGATTTCAAACCTGTTTATCCCAATAATTATAAAGGAGTGCCTTGGAAATATGTGTTTACATAAATTGTGACCAAACCGTTTGAACTTAGACTAAAGTGAACTATCTAAACACTCAGAGTTCTTTACCTCACTGAGCTGTAGTTATCAGTCTCTCGGTCTGACTGGAGAGGACTCTCCCTCCACATTATTGTAGAAACATATTCTACTTATATCCGCAGCTAGCACCAGATTCTAATAACAACAGCGCCGGTACCGGTGCACCCTCCCTCTCTCCCTCGCTCACTCGCACTTTGGCTGTGAGCTGCGGGCGCCAGACAAGCCAACATCCCCCATTTTCATCACTTACAGCGCCCATCGTACAGGGCAAATGAAACGTGTAACCGGGGTGAAAAGGGTGTTACATTTACTTAATTATGAATGTTGTTACATCAAGGCTGAAAATTAGGATGAGCACCAACGGTCAAAAAAAACGTTTTCCCTCCCAGAACTGCCAGCGCAGCGCCTCCACAGATCTGGCGCCCTAGGCGAAAATCAACGCCAGTGCGACGGGCCGGCCCTGAGTTCATATGCAACTCGCAAATATCTTTCTCTCTCTCTTCTCTCTTTTCTCTTTTCTCTTCTCCCTTCTCTCTCCCTCTCTCTCAATGTTGGTACGCAAATGCGCCTTTTTTCAAATGACCCGGTGCTCTTTTTTTTGGCCGAGGTGCGCATGCGCACCTGCGCACCAGTTATGTGCAGCCCTGCTTATATTGTAAAACGATTTTTAGTCCTTGAAAAGAGGGTTGGCACCGATTCCTTCCTGGAGTTCAAAGACCAAACGAAGGCGATACGCAGGGCTGGCACCATGTCCTTTACCCCCGCTCCTCAACGACGCCCACCAAAATCACTGCAGAGACGCGCACCATCTCCCCCGTCCTCATCACCGCGCCTACGTCAACCACCTCCCCCCCCTGGCAGCATGTCCTCTACCCCCGCACCATCTCCCCCGTCTCCATCACCGTGCCTACGTCGACCACCTCCCCTCCCTTCGAGGGGGCATCTGCAGTCTCCGAAGCCTGATAAGGATGTGTGTGTACAAAACACAACAACCTCTTACTGATATGTGATGGGTCCAGGCTCAAGGGCGTATGACACTCAACTCTTTCAAGGACATGTCGGGGCCCTGCCTGCCAGTAGCTTTGCCGATATCTGTGTTGATAGGTAATAGATTAAGAGCAGTGAATCATAGAAACAGGAAGCGCTCAAACGTTTGTGTGAGTTTATCTAATTTAGCAGTGATTCCATGTCAGCCACAGCTTTTACAAAAAACATGACTGATAGTGTGTTTAACAAACTTAAACTAGCTTTATTAAATGTCAGGTCTTTGGCAGGAAAAACATTTTTAATCAATGATTTTATCACTGAGCACAATCTCGATTTTATGTTTTTAACAGAAACTTGGATTGAACAAAATAACAGTGCAGCTGTTCGTATCGAATCAACCCCTCCCAACTTTAGTTTTATGAGTCAGGAAAGAATGCATAAGAAAGGGGGTGGAGTTGCTATTCTGCTCAATGATTCCCTTCAATGCAGGAAGACATCATATGGAAACTTTGCTTCTTTTGAATATCTGGCCCTTCAGCTGAAATGCTCCTCTCGAGCTCTGTTCCTAAATATCTATAGACCACCCAAATACTGTGCAAGCTTTTTTTGATGACTTTACTGAACTGCTGTATATAGTGTGTATTGACTTTGACCGTCTAGTCATTGTTGGTGATTTTAACATCCATGTTGACAACCCCCAGGACAGAGGGGCTAAAGAACTGTTTTGTGTTCTTGATAGCTATGGACTGACTCAGCATGTGACGGAGCCCACGCACAATAAGGGGCACACTCTGGACTTAATTATCTCAAAGGGTCTGAATATCTCTAAGGTTGTGGTGACTGATGTTGCACTCTCTGACCATTCCTGTGTTTTCTTTGAGAGCTCTATTTCTGTTCACAAAAATGTTCAAAAAGAGGTAACCACAAAGCGATATTTAACTGAAAATACTAGGGAAATGTTTACTCAGAATTTTTCTTCCACACTTGCCCCTGCTAACATCTCAGTAAATGAGCTAGTAGATCATTTTAATTCAAAAATAAAAAATGTTATAGATGCCATTGCTCCAACTAAGGTAAAGGAAGTGTCTGGCAAGAAATTATCTCCATGGAGAAAGGCCATGAGCGTGAAAACAGAAAAAAGAGAGTGTCGAAAAGCTGAACGCAGGTGGCGAAAAACAAATCTCCAGGTTCACTTTGAAATCTATAAAGAGAGACTTGGCCTTTATAATTTGGAATTGAAAAACGCACGACAATCGTTCTTCTCTGACATCATTACCAAAAACAAAAACAACGCACGTGCCTTGTTTGCTACCGTCGACAGACTAACTAACCCCCCAGTGTCAGTAGCCTCTGAATTTCTATCCACCAGGGCGTGCAATGATTTTGCCTCCTTTTTCACTGACAAAATTCAGAAAATCAGACAAGCAGTCAGTGCCTCTGCATCAGGAACAGCAAATGTGTTGTCCCTATCTCCACTTAACATCAATTCAGACACCATGACACAATTCCATCAGAATAATGATAAAAACCTAGAGGACATTATTCAACTTCTGAAATCCTCCTCCTGCTGCCTTGATATTATTCCAACAGGATTGTTCAAAGATGTTTTGCCTTGCATGGCCTCAGATCTACTTCATATAGTAAACAAATCTCTTCACTCAGGTATTTTTCCACAGGCCCTGAAAACTGCAGTCATATAGTCATATAGTAAACAAATCTCTTCACTCAGGTATTTTTCCACAGGCCCTGAAAACTGCAGTCATATAGTCATATAGTAAACAAATCTCTTCACTCAGGTATTTTTCCACAGGCCCTGAAAACTGCAGTAAACAAATCTCTTCACTCAGGTATTTTTCCACAGGCCCTGAAAACTGCAGTCATTAAACCGCTCTTAAAAAAGAATAATCTAGATGCTTCAGTAATGAACAATTACAGGCCCATATCAAACCTGCCATTTCTAGGTAAAATCATTGAAAAAGTTGTTTTTCAACAGTTGAGTAATTTCTTGCATTTAAATAGCTGTTTTGATGTGTTCCAGTCAGGCTTTCGTCCAAACCACAGCACTGAGACTGCTCTTGTAAAGGTCTTTAATGACATCCACTTAAACACAGACAGTGGCAGAACTTCAGTGTTAGTATTATTAGATCTCAGTGCTGCGTTTGACACTGTTGACCACAGCATATTACTAGACCGACTGGAAAACTGGGTGGGACTTTCGGAAACAGTTCTGAATTGGTTTGAATCCTACTTAAAGGACAGAAACAACTTTGTTTCTATAGGTAAATACACATCTGAGTTGACAAATATGACATGTGGGGTACCTCAAGGCTCCATCTTGGGGCCTTTTCTCTTTAACATCTACATGCTACCACTGGCTCAGATAATGAAAAACAACAAAATAAGTTACCATAGCTATGCGGATGACACACAAATGTACGTAACAATTTCACCAGGAGACTAAGCTCCAATTCAAACACTGAGTAAGTGCATTGAACAAATCAATGACTGGATGTGTCAGAACTTTCTCCAATTAAACAAAGATAAAACTGAGGTAATGGTTTTTGGAGCCAAGGCAGAACGTATAAAAGTTAGCGCTGAGCTTCAGTCTGCAATGTTCAAAACAACAGATAAAGCCAGAAATCTAGGTGTAGTCATGGACTCTGACCTGAGTTTCAACAGTCACATTAAAACTGTTACTAAATCAGCCTACTATCACCTAAAGAATATATCTAGGATTAAAAGACTAATGTCACAGCAGGATTTGGAAAAACTTGTCCATGCTTTTATCTTCAGTAGACTCGACTACTGCAATGGTGTCTTCACAGGTCTCACTAAAAAATCTATTAGGAAGCTGCAGCTGATTCAGAACGCCGCTGCTCGAGTCCTCACTAACACTAAGAAAGTGGATCACATCACTCCTGTTCTGAAGTCTTTACACTGGCTTCCTGTGTGTCAAAGAATAGATTTCAAAATACTGCTGCTGGTTTATAAAGCACTGAATGGTTTAGGCCCAAAATACATTTCTGACCTCCTGCTAAATTATGAACCATCCAGATCTCTCAGGTCTTCAGGGACTGGTCAGCTTTCTGTCCCCAGAGTCAGAACTAAACATGGAGAAGCAGCGTTCAGTTATTATGCTCCAAATATCTGGAACAAACTCCCAGAAACCTGCAGGTCCGCTGCAACTCTGACTACTTTAAAATCCAGGCTGAAGACTTTTCTTTTTGTCGCTGCTTTTAATTGAACTATTCATATCTTAGACTGCACTGTAACTTTGATCCATGTACTTTTTTCTTTTAATGTTTAATTGACTGCACTGTAACTTTTATCCATGTATTTTTTTTCTTTTAATGTTTATTTTATTAGCTTTTCTTTTTAATGACTGATTTTAAATGCCATTTTCTTAATCTCTTTCATTTTTTGTAAAGCACTTTGAATTGCCTTGTGTTGAAGGGACCTCCATCGGGATGGCTCCTTCACAATTTGGGTTTTTTCCATCTGCCTGGTTGATACTGTGCAAAACACACAAAACCTTCCATGTTAGATTATGAATAGATCAAATGATGGTTATGAATGGTGAGATGTCATTCAGTTGCAGCACGTTGAGGTAGATTAGACGTCATAAGATGTCAAGCTACAATCAAAAACCAGTAACCTCTTTGGCTCCAGAGTGGCAGCAACCAGCCTAGCCCCTCTCCATCCCTCCGCTTCTCCACTGTGGTAAGATATCTTGATGTCCACATGGTTGAAGACGTAGAATGTGTTCTTCTTGTGGAACTCAGCCTAGGAAAAAAATGATTGTATTAATTATCAGGTTCTCTGATTTCGCATCGGTGTGTTAAGTATCTCCAATGCAGTTATCAGCTAATTCATATTATAAAATGACCTGTAAATACACCTTAACATAGAACCTTTAGGTGTACTTTTCTGGCTCTATATGAGCTGGACCCATTCATTTGGCTTACCTTTTTTCTTTAATAATTTATATGAATGATCTACAAATATAATAAAATAATGTTTGCTGGTTTTAATTTAAAGTTAATGTAAATTAGACAACATTTGAATTCTAATTACGATATATTATGCTATAAAAATCACTAAAATAAGCAAATTGATCAAAGTAGGCTCAGGTTCTACCCGTAGGTAGATTTAGTATGCAGATAAAAAGACAAGGGACCCATCCTGACACACATTCTAAGAACAACACAGACAAATCTCTAATAAAAGTACACCCTGCTCCGTCACCTCTAAAAACATTTTAAAAAACAGTAGTACAATCATGGGCATTGAAAGTTAATAAATAAATAAATAAATAGGCATCTGTGTGACACCGCTACGACTTATTCCTTTGTGCGATAGCTGCCGGAATAAAGCTGGTTTTACACCGCTTTGTTTTACACTTTGGGATAACTAACATCCGGCCCGAAGGAAGAAGATTAAATTCTGAGTGCAGCGGGTGGGAGTCATCATTCAATAAAGAGCTGGGTAACCGCTGTAACTGCCTGAGGTACAGGGTCTCCAGGTTTAGCTGTGGGTCACCAATCAGTCTGCTAGACCACTTTATGATCCGAGGGCTCTTTAAAGGCAGGTTACCAAACCATGACATTAAAAGGACAGAATTTACTTAGGTAACACATGGGAGATTATTTATAGTTTAGTAAATTACTATATATTTCAGGGAGGCCCCTACCCAAAACAAGCATCCCAGGTAACGTACTATATCATTATGAGGACAACTCCTCAATCAGATGAGCAATTAGGTCAAACTTAATATAGAGTTCATTTTCGAAAAAATAAATCCAAACTCACATTGATAACGCAAGCATCTTTAGGTTTTCCATCTTGGTTCACAAGGCAGCCAACAGGGAAGCCCGGGTTGCAGTACTTCTGATCATCTTCAACATCATAGCACCATGTCACCGGCATGTTGTCAATTATCCTGAAAAGAAAAATTGGCTTACTTCAACAACTTCTTAACAAATACATTATTTGCCTGCTCGTGTTGGATTGTATTTCTGTTGTTATCCCTTTAACAAACAAAACCTCATGCTATTATTTACATAACATTTCAATGCCGTATTCTTTACAAACCAGTGGTGCTGGTAGTTCAACTGCATTCCCATCTTGAGGAAATTCAGTTTGGTTGCATCCTCTTTGTTCCCCTTTTTGTAAGACTTGGTGCACAAACTCTTACATTTAACATCTTCTGGAAAGTTGACCTGTTAAGGCAAACAACAGTCATTCTTTTCAATTAAAAACATTAAAACAGATGTATGGAATGTGAAATAAGAAACAGTGTAAGAGAAGCAAGCTTAGATGTTTTGGTTGACACCCACCTTGTAGGGAGAAGACTCAATTCGTTCACCAAACAGCACCTGTCCTAGGTTCTCAGAAGGCCTCGTTTCCATTTCATCTTTGCAAAAGTCGAACCTTTTAACATATAATGAGAATATATTAGTGACCTAGAAAACATAGGTATATCAAGATATTGCACAGATGGAATGGAATGAAGCAAGGCAAGTTTATTTATAGAGCACCTATCCGCACAGGGCAACCCAAAGTGCTTTACAAAATAAGATAAAAGACATTTAAGAACAATATACAGATGAAGCACATTATAAAAAGGCATTTTAAAAACAAGCATTTAAAAAGCAAATATAATAAAATCAACACAACAGGTATAAAATACATGGATAAAAAGCCATACTGCAGTTAAAATGTGTAAAAAGTAGAAAGTTAACGTTACTTACATATCATACTCGTAAGGCAGGACTGACTCTACTGAGTCAAGGCGATTGACAAACAGCTGAATCACTGTCTGTAGAAGAAACACACACAATTGTCCGTCAAAAAAAAGGATGTGTTTAACTGAAAAAAACATTGTCTCAATCGAGACAAAGGTATTTGTTCATTTTATTGGTTTCAGTCATACAACAAATGTTAGTAATGAATCTGTCGTAACCAAATAATTGGTTAAGCTGTGATTACAGCACCACTGTAGTGAAACACCACTTATCAGCCCTGAAGGGAAGCTCTGTGACTGGATACCAGTGTCCGCTGTCCTCTGAGCCTCTGAGGGTGAAGATATGTCGGCAGGGCCGGACTGGGACAATAAGTCAGGCTGGGAATTATACACCCAGCCAAGCCACTACCAGTGTTTTGTGGCATTTTGCTGGATTTATTTGTCAATATTTACAGCGTTGCTGCCCATAGTGATAGCCCTCTAAATCTACTACCAACAAATAAACATATGGAGATGGGTTACTATTTAACAAAATGTGCAAATCTATTTAGGAACCTATTCATGTGAACATATTTTAAGTGGGGGTGGACCTCAAATCCTATAGGGGTGTCCGGGGGCATTCTCCTCCAGTAAGATTGTTTTTTAAATGTTGGACTTAAATGCATCAATCTGGTGCATTTTAAGGGGGAAATAAAGAGAGAGACTACACCTATATGAAACAGAACTGTATACATTTAAATAATCATAAAATCATAAGTATATGGCCATAACCAATAACATACCATATCCAATATGAAAAAACATTGAAACTTGTTTATTTATTTGTTTTTGGTTCATTTATAGTTGTGAGTGTGTCTGTGCTCCTGAACCAGCCTCTCCTGTCTCCCCCTGCTACTCTTTGAGGCAGCAGCAAAGACTAGCTTTAGCTCTCAACAAGTTTTTAAAGTTTATCTTACATTTTTTCACCTAGTTAACGTTTTTTATTATTATTCATCTATATTTTACTAATCACTCCCCCCTCAAATGGAAATATGTCTTTATATGAATGGTGACCAAACCGTGAGACCCACTGAGAACTAAGTTAACTATCTAAACACTCAGCAGAGTCCTTTACCAGTCTCTCAGTCTGACAGGAGAGGACTCTCCTCCACCTTGTTGTTGAAACAGCTCCTTATATCCGTTAGCGCAGCTAGCTAGCTAGCACCAGATGCTAACAACAACAATAGCCTACACGTAAACGGTGCGCGCGCTTTCTCTCTCTCGCTCGCGCCACTCATACACACACCCTCCCGAGCTTGAATGACACACAGAGACCAATCGAGGGCATTAGTGTATGAAAGTGGCCATGTCGGCAGGCCACATCATGTAGACAGCCAGTCACCCTCTGTGAGGCAGAGTCAGACCCACATTTGTGCAGCGTTGCGTTCACAATACATACATAAAAAAATCCTCAGGCCAGCAGGCCACTTAGCAGGCCAGGCCATCGGGAAACCTCCCGGTGCTCCCGATGGCCAGTCCGGGCCTGTATGTCGGGCACTTTCAGTTTCCGGGTCTTTCCAAGTAGTCAGGTTCTCTTTCCTAAGGCTGCACATACGTCGGTCTCCATGTGTCCTCCTCAGGTGGAAAACTTCTTCTTTCTCCTGATCCTTCAGACACCTGAGGAATTCACCAGTTTTAGGAACAACAAAGAAACGTGGTCAACTGTAGGAAATCCTAATGACAGCCAAAATAGTGCATACTTTATGAGGTGAGGTAGCTCCAGCAGGTTTCTACTCAGGTATGTGAACACAGTCCTCTTCAGCTCTACACAGCAGATATCCTGAGCCAGACTAAGGTAGGACCGACAGTTTCCTGGGCTGAGTTCGAGGACTGACAGACACTTTGAGAGGAAGGCCTCAGCCAGGAGATAGCTGCTGACCTCCAGAGTTGGAAAGGGAGAAATATGTTTGGTTTTAGGGTGAATTACAACACTAAGCAAAAGCATGAGATTTCCGAAAGTGACATGTTTAAATAGACGTAGAGAAAGGAAGTCCGTTTACCTGGATGTGGTAGCCCAAATCCTCCTGAGGGACTTTAAACTTATTATGGAAGGAGAACTCAAGAAGATTGTGGAAGACTGAGGAGGACACATGGTCCAGGAGGATGAGGCTCTCTGAAGTCTCCCTCATTCTGGATTGGGACAAGGTTCGGAAGTACTCACTGCACTGTGAGAGCCTCCCAATATCCACCTTAAAAGATTAATTATTAAACCAAGATTGTTGTGGCCTCCAGTTCTATCTGGTTAACTTGTACAGTTTAGAAATGTGTGTTTTGTTGTTTACCTACATGGAATGCACATGTGCTGGTTTGCACTGTAACCATGGTTTCATCTCCATCTCCAGGGTGATATGTGCGAAGTGCCTCAATGGTTTTCCACTCCTCTGAGTCTGATCCTCTATCTGTAACACCTGGGGATGCTATCCGATTTTTGGCTGCTGGAAAAGCTCCCCATAGTCTTGTAAGAACATATATGAGCCAGAAGCGTAACCCCTCTATGAATATGATAACACATTGCCTGAGAGGATTCATCTCATTGACGGTGTCAGATCTAAGTGAAGACAATTATAACAGTTTTAATACAGCCTGTACCATTTTTTTTGTTTAAACTCCACAGGTTTTAAGATGCTTTGCACCATACAACCAGTCCTACAATCACACATTCAGACTGTAAGTGCTGCAAATGAGAGGAGACAAGCTCCCAATATTACAAGCAGCCACAGCAATGGCAAATAAAGGACAGAACGAGAACGACTAGTTGAGTCCATGTTTCACTGACTCATCTACTTTTCCTTCTGCAACGCTCACCGTCAAATACTTAAGACAACATGCCAACAGAAACAGCTTGTTAAAGAAGTTGGTGCAATGCAATGCTAGGCAAACTTCAGAGTTCCTGTTTGTTCTGCTACAGATCCAGTGCATTCGGAGGTCTCTCGATCTTTGAGCAGTGCAGCTCTTTCTGGCTGGTCTATTTTTGGCACTTGGAGGTGGGACAATAGTCAACCGTCTGCGATGAAACATGGTCTCCTTCAAGCTTCACGTCATCATGGGGCAACTAAGTTACTGCTGCAGTTTTAAAAGTAACTTTATGTTTCACAAAATGTATCGATACATTTGTAAAAATGTATTTTAGGGCCAATGTATTTATGAGAAAAACAAATGCATTGACACAGGTTCTAGACACATGTTTATTAGATTTAAACTAGTAGTTTGTACTACCATAACCAACATAAAACAGATGACACAGTATGAACTTCAACAGGATGCGCTGCTTTAAAAAACAAACAGTTAATGAGGCACAGTAAAGCGGCTAGCTTCTATTCAAAAGTAAACTGACAAAGCTTTGTGTCAAATGTAGGACATTCATGACATTTGGTGAATAAAGTAGCTTCTGTCAAACCCAGGAGACTGTCTAGATAAACATAATGGTATTTAAATAATTGTAGGATCTATTTAAGCAATTTAGCTTAATTTAGTTGACTACAAGTGCCAGATGTACATTTTAGTTACATAAAACCATAGATGAGAATTACATGTTTACCAGATGATGTTACAGTCATACAACGATAAATAGAAGAGAAAAGGTAGCAAGACAGTTACAAAAATGTACAGTTAATAAATCCAATATTACTGACATAAACATACACTTGTTTATTTACCCATTAGAACAGTTACATTGATACTGTACAAAATAGCCCTTGTGGAATATGTTGTTGAATGTGGGTAATTAAGCTTTTAACTTCACATTATTGGACCTCCAAAGAACCCTAATGCAGAATGGACCTCAGAAAAAAGGAGCAAGGCAGAATAAAACAAAAAACTCTAAAATAACTCAAATTTAGAGACATGACCAGCATTGTTTAGTACAGTAGCCGACCATCATGTTGACTGAGCCCCTCAAATGCCCCACAACCAATTTGAACAAGCCGTAGAGCTTTACCTGCTCTAAAATAACATGTACATACATTACATGTATATCTTCCACCCAACATTGCTTGTAGTAAGCAGAGTTGCATACTACTAGTACATTTTATATCAAAACGTGGGAATCAGGAGAAGGCTTTCTTTAACTTGAGGTAGCCATCAAAGCGGCACTGGGCATAGTCCTGCAAAACAATATAGTCTACTTTAAGGCAACATTTACAAATGTAACATCAAATATGTGACTGACAAAAAATCATTATGTTTATTGAAATAAATGTACCATGCCACTGGTGTTTGTTTTGTAATGTGAAATAAAATAAAATTCCTTACCATGTATCCAAACTCGATCTTGGAAATCTTTGCTTGAATGATGGACCACAGCCCCCAGAGGAAATGTGAAGCTAATGCATACCTACAAATCACAGCAAGAAAGGACCAGGGCTATAGTGATTCTGCTATAACCTTTAAATCATACATAGCGTTGCTGTAGATCAAGTTGTACCTGTTAGCTTCAATTAGCATGGCCTCCTCCTCCTGTGTCTGGTCCTTGGACATGTCAGAGTGTCCTCTCTGCTGTGCCAAATAACTTCTGATGAAATGAAGCTGAAATAAAAAACAAGTGACACGTATTAAAAAAAAAAAAAAAGTAGAAAAGTGACATCCTCTTTGTTTATGTAAAGGAATATTTTGGTCTTGTTAAAGTATATAGAGTTTAGTGATTTGTCCTCGGGAATCTGTTTAATGGTTAAAGTGTATTCCTGCCTGTAATGTGATCCATAGCTTCTCAGGAAGACACAGGTCAAGAGGTCATCTGATGTCTTGTGGGGGAGAAGCTTGGCCCATGTGGGTTTACAATGCAACGAGTCTTTGTCTCGACATCTGGCATGCATTAAAGGAAAACCCGCGTGTTTTAGGGCCCTCCTCTTCTTGTCTGTATAGTTGGGTGCTTGGCGCTTTTAGAGTTCAGAGTTTGCTGGTATCTTACAGGAGAACTGTGATATGCTGTGAACTCTCCGGCCGCTGAGGCTCTCAATAAATATCAGTGTATTGACAGGCGAATCCAGTTTCACTCATTTCATGATTGGCTCAACATTGCTGCAAAGAAGTTTTAACTTCACAGTTTACACATTTTATGATTGCCTATATCTGCATTATCTAATGTACTGCACATTGCCATCAGGAAAACCAAGTGTCTTTACTCAGAAAATGGAGTAAAGCAACTTAAAAAACGAGTGACCACTCCCCCTCCCACCCAGCCTACATCTTCTTCCAGCTTCTCTCCTCTGGATGGCGCCACAGGCTCATCTTAATAAATACCACCCAATTCATAAACGGCTTCCTTCCAACAGCACCTGTGACACTTAACTCCCCTCACTACTCCACCTTACCACAAGGTCCTTTTTACTGACCCATATTGTTCTGCAGGCACTGGAAAGATCTCAATATTATTTTTGCTGCTGCTTTTAATTGATATATTCATATCTCACACTGCACTGTAACTTTTATTCATGTACCTGTGTTATTCATGTTTTATTATCTTTGCTTTGAAATTAGTGTTTTAAAATTCCATTTTTAAATAGTTACTGCTGCAATATGTCTTAATAACTTCGAATTGCCTTGTGTTGAAAGGTGCTATATAAATAAACTTGCCTTGCCTCAATGAGCTGGAGGTTTCCTATAATTTCACTGTCTTTCAAAAGTACGTTTCCTTTTTGTGTGCATTGTTTTGATGGTTATCGTTTCTGTTCATTTATTTAACTGCACTGAAACTGAGCTCCAATGCTGTACCGATACAGATTCCAACAACACCGTAGCCTGGTTATTCATCTAGCCTAATTTTTAAATCAATGATTGCCATCTGACCCTGGCTAAATGACGCACTGCGTGCTAATAGAACCGTCCTTAGGGCAGCAGAGCAGAAACGGTGGAAATCCAAACACCAAGACGACCTCCTAACCTATCAGGCTCTCCTCTTTCTCTGCTTCGATCTCTCAGGCAAAAAGCACTTTCTTTCCAGATAAGATCCAATCTTCCTATTCCAATCCCAAAAAACTATTTTCCATCTTCTCCTCCCTCTTGGACCCCCCCAAAGCCCCTTCCTCCTCCTCCCTTCTGTCAAGCGACTTTGTTAACCACTTTGAAAAAAAGGTTGATGATATTCGCTCTTCTTTTTCTGACTCACCTTTACTCACCGCTGGGTCACCAGACCCTCCTTCCACCAACACACTGACCTCCTTTTCCCCTCTCTCTCCAAGTGAGGTTCTTACCCTCATTACCTCTGCCCGCCCTACCACCTGTCCTCTGGACCCTATCCCTACAAACCTCCTTCAGACTATCGCTCCTGATATTCTACCGTTTCTCACCCATTTCATCAACACTTCTCTAACTTCTGGTCACTTTCCAAACAGTCTCAAGGAGGCAAGAGTAAACCCTCTCCTAAAGAAACCCACTCTCAACCCGTCTGATGTTATAAACTACAGGCCTGTCTCTCTCCTCCCGTTCCTGTCTAAAACACTTGAACGCGCTGTCTTTAAACAACTCTCCTGTTATCTCCATCAGAACAACCTTCTGGATCTGCACCAGTCTGGTTTCAAGGCAGGTCACTCCACAGAAACTGCCCTCCTTGCTGTCACTGAGGAACTGCACACTGCTAAAGCAGCCTCCCTCTCCTCTGTCATCATCCTTTTGGACCTGTCTGCTGCATTCAACACGGTGAATCATCAGATCCTCCTTCGCACTCTCCAAGAACTTGGAGTTTCAGGCTCTGCACTTTCCCTCCTCACCTCATACCTCAAAGACCGCACCTACAGGGTTACTTGGAGAGGGTCGGAGTCCGACCCTTGTCAATTAACTACAGGGGTCCCTCAGGGCTCTGTTCTTGGTCCCCTCCTCTTCTCCTTGTACCCAAACTCGCTCGGATCTGTCATTAGCCCGCATGGTTTTTCATACCACTGCTACGCTGACGACACCCAATTGATTCTGTCCTTTCCCCGCTCAGAGACCCAGGTCGTCGCACGCATCTCTGCTTGTCTAGCTGACATCTCTCAGTGGATGTCTGCTCATCACCTTAAGCTCAACCTTGACAAGACTGAACTGCTTTTCCTTCCGGGAAAAGATTGTCCCACTCTTGACCTAACAATCAACATTGGCAGCTCTATTGTTTCCCCGACTCAGACTGCAAGGAATCTGGGTGTGACCCTAGATAACAACCTGTCCTTCACTGCAAACATCGCTGCTACAACCCGCTGCTGCAGATACACGCTTTACAACATCAGGAAGATACGTCCCCAGTTGACACAGAAAGCGACGCAAGTTCTGGTCCAGGCTCTCGTCATCTCACGCCTAGACTACTGCAACTCCCTCCTGGCTGGTCTACCTGCATGTGCCATCCGACCTCTGCAGCTCATCCAGAATGCAGCGGCTCGTCTGGTCTTCAACCTTCCTAAATACTCCCACACCACGCCGCTCCTCCGCTCCCTCCACTGGCTTCCGGTAACTGCTAGAATCCACTTCAAGACAATGGTACTTGCGTACCATGCTGCGAATGGATCTGGCCCTTCCTACATCCAGGACATGGTTAAACCGTACACCGCAGCACGTGCACTCCGCTCTGCATCAACCAAACGGCTCGCTACACCCTCGCTGCGAAGCGGACCCAAGTTCCCATCAGCAAAAACACGTGGGTTTGCTATTCTGGCTCCAAAATGGTGGAATGAGCTCCCCATTGACATCAGGACAGCAGAAAGCTTACACACCTTCCGGCGCAGACTGAAAACTCATCTCTTTCGACTCCACTTCGAGCGATAGAACTATTAACAAAGCACTTATATACTAATAAAGGACTGGCTTACCTAAAGCCAGTTGAGTAGCACTTGAAATGTTTTTGCTCTATGAAACCTGATGTACTTATATGATTCTGTTTTCTTCAAGTTTGTATTTTGTTGGTCGAACGCACTTATTGTAAGTTGCTTTGGATAAAAGCGTCAGCTAAATGCAATGTAATGTAATCTGAATACAACATTTGCATAAGCAATTTTAACCACTAGATGGCACTGTATGATCAGAGCGTATCCATTTCCCAAAAGAGATGGCCTTATATTTTTGGTTTAAACATCAACACCGTGAGTCTCTTTTGTGGGACTCTGAAGGATTGGACTTAAAGGTCATGCAAAATCCACTTTTTCATGTATTTTATACATAAACATGTGTCCCCTCTGTGTAAAGAGATTCTGAAAGTTTCAGGGAAAAAAATTCGCTCACTTTTTGTCCTGATCCATTTATATAATGGATGATGTACTTATATGATTCTGTTTTCTTCAAGTTTGTACCTTGTTGGTTGAACGCACTTATTGTAAGTTGCTTTGGATAAAAGCGTCAGCTAAATGCAATGTATTGTAATATAATATAAAAACCTGTCTGAAAATGAGCTGATCAGATGTTGGCCACTTTATGATGTCAGAACGATTTCCCCCCCCCCCCCCTCCCCTCTTTTTAACCAAATATCTCGGTAGGGGCGTGGGGAGTGGCTCCTTATTTTCATCTAAAGTAACAGACAGAGAATCAGCACTTTTGAAACAGGGCTGAAACAGAGGGGTTTATGGGATGCTACAATGATCTGTTTGGTATTTCGAGCCAAACACTTCAGAGACATGTTTTGTATATATATCTGAGACCTATTATATATTGATGAAAAACAGTATAATAGGGGACCTTTAATAGGTTAGTCTACTTTTATTCAGCCCTGGTTTAAACTGACCTGCTGCTCTCTGGTGGGATAGTTCTCCTGTGTGGCTTTGAAGAAGGGCCACTGGTTATAGGTGTAGTCATACATCCACTCACAGAAATGGTTCCCAAAGTCAAACCCCCTGCATGAAAGAGTAATACATTAGTCATTTAAAAACAAAAGAGCACAATCTTTGTGTATGCATCCAAGTGTAGTCCAGACAACATATTTCGTATCAGAATGAATCATTACTGTTGATCAACAACTTTACCTGTAATTGTAACTGCTGTACTCAAAGTCAATCAGCATGAGTCTGTGAGTGGTGTTGGGGTCCTTGTCTTCCAGTATCAGAATGTTACCTGCAGCAGCAAAACAAGATTTTCTTTTAATAATAATAATAATAATAATAATTTCAGCCTCTGTGGGGTTAAGACACATCGACTATAACTGAACTTCAAGAGTCACATTGTTTTGCACAAAGAAGTGCTTTTTGTAGAACATATACATATTGTATATGTTGGCGATTGAGAGGTTTTGAATGTGGACATGCTCAAATGTACTTTTGGTCTGAGTTGGACACCTAATTCCAATTTGAGTGACAATGTTGGCTTTATTAGATAACAAAACTAATAAACAGGAAAGTAGGAGAGAGGGGACACGAGAGCCACGTGGATGCCCTCAATAGTGGTAAATCCTAAAACTTGTGGCAGTATGAATAGAGACCTTATCTCATTCACCATGACAATGTCACAATGTACAAAGCCAGCTCTGTGACAAAATTGTTTTCCTAGATAAGTGTGGACAAACTTGACTTGCCTGTACGGAGGAAGAGCTGCAAAGCTACCCATATGAGCAAAAACTGTCACAGTAGATATATTGGCATAATCACATATCACAATCAGCTATGTGTATATTTGGCAGTTTTCCATATCTTTAATGTCAGTTCAGATTAAGTAGTTATTCTAAGAGACATTCCCATTTATTAAAAAGCTATTCCCGACCACCACCTTGTATTATTCATCTTCAAATACAGGAAGATGCATATGAATTTCAGCAGTTCCTATTAATAACTACACCCAAGCCTTTCTTTGACTTATGGTTATAACTGCTAAGGGTTGATCAATTAGCCAAAGTTAGAAGTTTGAGGATTAAAGTGTACCTTCCGTGACGTCATTGTGGCAGAATACCACTGGTGATTTAGTCTCGGCCAGCAGCGCACTGTGGTGGGGGAAAGAGTCAGATGAACAGAGTCGATGATGACAGAGAAAGGGAGAGGAAAGAAGGAGCTTGTCAGTGATGCATTTGCAGGCGGTGTTACTTGCTAATCATTAATACCAATTTTAAAGAAATTAGGCGAGTATAAAATATGATGTCCTAGAGCAGGGGTCGGCAACCTTTTTCATATGAAGTGCCATTAAAAAAAGAATAAATTAATTCTTTAAATAAATAAAAGAATATTAAAGGGGGGGGGGGGGGGGGGTTGTGGAGCTTGACGCTCGTGAACTGTCAGCAGGAGGGCGGGGGGAGCCTTTGTGAAACAGAAGAACAGCTAAATAAATGCAACGGCCTCCCAAGAAGAGCTCGCCTCTCTCCAGTAATTTAAGCTAAAGTGGGTTATTGAAGCTGAAGCTTGTTGCTTCTGCCCTCCTCGACTACGGTCTGGGAGCCGACAGGAAAGTTCAACACACAGGTGGCAGTCCGCCCCTTTGTAGCATATTATTTCAATGAGATGAGCAGATCACCACTGGGCTTTCAACTAAATACACAGCCACGCAAAAACTGCGGCATTTATACAGCTCCTTATGGGTACTGCAATCTGTGAAGTGCTTTCCTCTGTGGTGAAACGATCAGCACTGCACCACGGAGGAAAGCGGCAGAAGGTCACCTGGAGTTAAAGAGAGCGGGGCTGCGCTGCGTGCATGGCTTCCTTCTGCAGGTAACGGGGAGACTCGCTCTGGCGGCGGTCTCGTTCAGGATCCGAAAATACAATTTAAATATTTTTGCACACTTATTCCTAGTGTGCCACTGGTTACGGTGCCGCGTGCCAGCCAGGGGTTTCCGACCCCTGTCCTAGAGACTACAGTTACTACACTGCAGCAATGACGGTATTTTATTTTTAATAATTATTCATTCAAATTGTACTGTAAAGAGGCATACTAGGCAAAACTATACTGATTAATTCAAAGCATCTATGTATGTAACCCATAAGATCAATCAATCAATCAAACATCAAGCCAAGAAGATGGCGCCTTGAAGTCTCATACTGTGTCAGTGGGAGACTGCTTCAAATCTAAAAGATAAAACATGTGCTCATAGATAAACAGTGACAATAAACACTGTGCTGATTATCTATTGGCTGCCGAGGTCAGCCCACCTGGAGGACTCAGCTGTGAAGTCTTGGAGGGACTGGGACAAAGGTCAGTTATTAGACTGAAAAGGAAAAGAGTGTCCTGTCACACACACACACGTCTCGTGGTTTTTAGTGCTGATCCTTAAACATCAGTAGTAACAGGCTAACCTGACCAACTTCCTAAAATCTACACGACATCAGATTAGGTTAAACATTATTGTCATTGCACAGGATATTGAGTGAAGACAATGGAATAAGGGTATGCATGTGCTAGATACAGTGTGAGCAGTTGAACAGTATTTACAGTGGGTAAATTACAGCAAATGATATGCGATGGCTCTGACCAAACAACATCTTGTTGACACTTGGCTTAAGCAAGTGATTGCATCATGTTTCTACTTCCCCTCAAAATCAGTTTTTGACACTGACTGTAAAACTCTGAATCACTAGGGTTTGCATGTTCAATGATCCTCCTGCTAAGTTGTGATTTACAAAAAGAGAAAAATATGATATTTATTGTATTGACGTTTTTGTCCTCGTACATGGGTATCTGCAAGAGTTATAATTGCCAATAGTAGTTTTTTGTGTGTATATTGTATTTTAGATTATTTTTCAAACATTTTGAAAAAGATTCTGCCCCCTCAATGACACTGTTTTTCCTCATCTCTACTTACCCTAACTTTGAGGCTTTATTTATACTTAATGATGGTCACTTAATGCATCACAATATTGCTTTTATATTTATGTATATTTGATTCCTGTGCCCCAACTCACCGTAGATTCTCCAGCTCAGCAGGCAGGTCTAATTTCATCAGCTTCTTGTACTTCTTCACATGTGCTTCACGTACAAAATTAAGCTTCATCACTTGATCCACGTATCTAAAGGAAAAAGAAGACATTACATCCAAAGCAGATAGTTCTAGTCAAAGAAAGAGATACCAAGATGTCCTTACTTGTCAATGGTCCCAAAGAGCCAACTGGGCTCTTTGTTAAAGGGCATGCTCATTTCATGGAAACATGCCACCTTGGTGGCAATCTCAGCCGATATGGCAGGATCGGGAAGTTGATCTGTGCGCATGCGGGTATTCTGGAAAAACAGATAAAATAAAGATGATACCAATGCTTCCTCTACCTAAGGACCAAGCTCAAGTATTTTATGGATTTACATTCTACTTACAAAGTAGAAGGAATGTGTTCAATAGAAATTCAGATTAGATTTTAACCCTGAATGTTCAATACTTTGAAACATTATTTTGTTATGTATGAATGTGTGTACGGTGTATGTGTGTGTGCATATATTATACCGGAAAGTACTGTTCTAAGCGTCCCTGGGGAAAGATGCCGTACAGTTTTGGTCCTAAAGTTCGTTCTGCCAGGATGGCGAACATCACACTTTCCAACACCAGGGAGTCCACACCCTGTGTCACAGAAAGACAGACAGAAAGACAGTTTGATTACATTTTTGCTTTAGTTTATACTTCCAGGCAGACAATAATGATAGAAGAATGACTACAGAAATTATATTTTCCCCGATAGTAGTTCAACAGCTGAACAGAACAACCTGTAAGATGGCACCATACACTCTGAGGAGCACGACGCGAGGTTCATCTGCGACAGCAGGCACATGGTCAGGCAAACAACACAGGTAGAGCAGATTACTCAGCCCCCCACTGCAAAACAAAAACACCAGTGCTATCACATCAGGGCAAAGTTAATGTCATTACACATAGCTACAGTATATAGTAATTGGTCACTACACCACGACAATACGTGCAAACCATGTCTAAAGTGACTGATCACATGCACTAAGGCTGCGGTTTAGTCTTTTTTTATTCCTAACTGAGCAAAATAACCTAAGTGGGAGCGAGGATAAGAGCTATTTATTACTCTGGACGATAAGGAAAGGAGCTTAAACACTTCCTTTATTATCTCCATTTGCATAGAATACACTGTACCATCCTGTACGAAAAGAAAGCAGATATGGGTATTAAATTAACACATCTTTCACTGTTGTCCACGTTTATAGAACCTACATGAAACAACATCATGAGAAGCCACACTCCAATGTTTAGACGTGTCTATGTCTATAGAAGTCTAGATCTATGTACAATTGTAGTTTTACCACAGCAGACCAAATGAAGTCCTGTTGGATTCTCCTTCACATCTTTCCTTAACTTAACCCCATTAAGTTTTTCACTAAGGTTAATGAAATGTGGTTATAAGAAGACATAGGACCTGTTTGTTTTATTCGCAGCACAATACTGTCCTTGCCTAACTGGCAGCTGGCTCAGCCTTAGTAGGCTACATGGTGCACCTGCTGCTCAAATTGAGCCCTGTGCTGTTTTTCTCCTATATATATATATTTTAGTGCACTCATATCACATTGTTTATATACTTAAAATAGTATGGTTTATTCATATCCACACTTGAGCTGTTTAATATTGTTTATATTACCACTATACACACATTACTCTGAAACTTCACTGCTTTACACACTCAAAACAGAACTTAAAAAATGCCTTTGTTACTAAATGTATAATTTGTAATTGAGTTGTTCCCCTGTGAATAGGCCATACGATACACTACACTTTTTGTGGCGGTACACATAATTAAAACAAAGAATAATACAATAATTATTATTACAAATGTGGTGTCCATTGTAAGTACATAATAATGTGCGATGATGTCAAGTAGCTATCTTTGTTTTGAGGGACCCCAAACTATTACATTGGGATTCGTAAAAGTACGCCATAATGAAGTCAACATTTTAGACTTAATTTAAATACCTATAGTATTAAGATAAGGACATTATAGTGATGTTATCTTCACTAGGCCTACAGCTGTAATTTCACATTATTTACCTAACAATGCTTATTTGAAAATCCCTTTCTTCGACGGTCTTCCAGGACCCCGCCAGGAAGTCTCTGCACCAGGAGAACGCCCTGCTCCGGGTGTCCCGGTCAACCTCCTCGGTTCTCCCATCCCGGAAAGCCTCTGCCTCCGAGTCGTAATCACAGTTGGCCCCAAATAAGGGACTCGGGGTCCTAGAATGTCTCTCATTGACGAAAAGCATGTCCCCCACTCGTTTATCCCCCCCGGGAGGATCAACATCTTCTGTTGTGACAGAGGGAATGTTGCTAGAGAGCCCCGACTTCTGTACTCCGCCCGGGCCCTCCTTCCTGACTCCGCTACCCGTCACATTTCCACCCGACTGCATCGTGAGTTTCCGGGCGAAGAGCAAAGGGAGACCGGTGTTATATGTCGGTCTGAAGACAAGACAAGACTGTCTCGCTGGCGTTCGCAGTTCACCGGTAAGGCTACGCAACCGGAAGAGACAAGCATAGCGGGATAATCTGGTACGCATGGGTGGGCGCAGCGGGCAGTTTGCAGCAAGTATTAAAGTATAATGGCCTTTTAAGATTGGTGTTTCTCCTCGTCGGACGCGCAGCAACTGGTGATTTGCACAGAGGTAAACTGGCATATTCATTGTCCAATCACATTTCGATGACCTGTTCTTAAGCTTGTTCTAATTGGTCATTTATATGTGGTAACTTTGTACGTCATCTTCCTGCACACTGAAGGACTCTGGGAAATGTAGTGTCCATGTTTGGCAATGCTACTGAACCCATGTACTGAACGTTGTGTATTTTGAACGGTTTGGTTAAAGATCATATTTGTAAAAACATGTTTAAAGAGAGACATTGATGTAAATGGTAGTTTAAGGTATGGATGGATGGATATTCTAATTTAATTTCCACCCAGTGAAAAGAGCTACTTTGCTACAGTCCTACCCAGGGGCGTCGCCTGGACCTGGAAACATTCGGGGCTTAGCCCACAGTGGCGGCGCTACAGTCGAATTTTCTACATTTCTACAATTTCACATACACAATTGCGCCATCTGGTGTCACAAACGTGTGCCTGCATTAGCTTTGTTACGGCAATGCATTGTGGGAGATTCTCATAGCACCTGAGGATCACTTGAGGGTAAGGTGCCTGTATTATCTCGGTGGACAAAATGTATGTTTTTATTTTATAAGGACAATAACGTACTGTTGTGTTTGTTTAGTTTAATGTTAATTGTGTAATGCTCACAGTCACAGCAACATGTTTTTTGTGTGATTGGCTATTTGTTTTATATGATTTATCAACATGATCATCAATAGCTAATCTGAGCTAATAAGCTCATGTGAGCAGCATGGTGCTATTTCTCCAACAGAACCCAGCTCACGTGTCCTTTTATGCTGTCCATTGAAATGCAGGTATGTGAGTTTTGTACACCAGTTTATTTATGTTTAATGTTTCACATTGCTCCACATGATGCCTCGACTACAAAGTCTTCCATGTTTCTACGCTTCTTCGTCTGTGTCACAGTTTCGGGAATATCAAGATCATTGCACAGGGCCTTGGTCTTGTCATAGACCTCATGTGCTTTCTTGTTACTTCGGTAACTTTTCAGTGTGTTCTCAACTGCTGTTTTGTAATCTACAGCCTGCACCAAGTCAATTGTTTCTTTCTGCAGGTATTTGTGCAGGCCCTGAGTGGTTGAGAGCAGTGTCTGGAACATGACAGCATGTAGATGGTACTGAATTTTCAAAGCTTGCTTTCCAGTCCCTTTACTAGAGGGGCTGAAAGGCTCCCTAAAGTCTTGATCAAAGCAGGGAGGTTTTTGACATGCCCAGCGAACAAGTTTAATGTTTCACATTGCTTGTGAAAAATATACTACCACTATACGATCACTGATGTTTTGTTGTTGACTGGACACTTATTTTGTAAAAAATAGCATGAGAGGATCTCTTAAGCAATGCAGCTCACGTGTCCTTTTTATATGCTGTCCATTGAAATGCAGGAAAGTAATCAGCTCTGAGTGATCTGTTGCCGAGCGGACACTACACCGGAGTTACATAAGCAGAGATAAAGTGCTATTTTGGGGGGAACTCACCTCCTCTGGGGTCCCCCAGGAAGATTTTTTTTAAATATTGAAGTTAAAAGCATCAATCTTGTGCACTTTGAGAGCAACATTAAGAGATATGGATACATCTCTCAACACCCATATGTCAAAAAGAAATCAAAGAATCAGAATCAGAAACGGGTTTATTATTTAAAAACACTTAATTTTCCAATTAAATCATAAACTATGTCAAATGATTAGAAGTTGTTAGTAATCAGATTAAACAGAACAAAGGGATGGAAGGAGGAAATAATAATCCCTCATCTCTTGCTGTTTGCAGTTGAAATTATCTCTTTTGCTGGCCAAATGGAAAGCAGTGATGTCTCACTTGCCTTGACTTGTATCTGCAGTCCCTAAATCAGTTCCCCAGTTACCCATTGCCTCTTGTCTGTTCTGGTGTTCCTGTTCATTGTTGTCTCCATTGTTGTTCTTGTCTGTTGTATCTCCTTCTTGTGTGTCCCTTTCTCCTGTTCTCCTTTCTTCATCCTCTACTCTGTTTGGCTCATCTGTGATGACTGTGTAGGTAAACACAAACAAGTATGTAAGTCAATCAGTTTCCAGCTCTGTCAAATAAACGAATTTCAAGATACACAAATGTGTCTTCATTAAAATGAGTGTCACCACACTGTCACAAAATGTAATACTAACCAATTGAAAATAGTTAAATTTACATTGGAAACCTCTTGTTAGATATCAGTGTTAAGAGTAGTTATCTGCCAATAGGACAGTATCATTCCTATACAAATGCAGTTTGAGTAATTCACTTAATACATTTACTTAAAACTTTAATATAGTCATTTTCACTTAATACTCTAATATAGTCATCTTTCTGCATTCAACACTAAGGAAAGCTGTACAATTTGACATGATAATGAGGAAAAAAGGCCTCCGACAATGCAGATATTTTTGGATCATATCAATTTTAAGATGGGGGTCAAGGCTTAATATTTGGGAGCATAGTGTCCCTTCCCCCTTTCAGGAGCCCCACTGGATTAGCTTTGATCTGAAATATTTGTATAAAAAGCTTGTTAGCTGGCTGTCCATCTCATAATGTTCACATAGAAACTAGCTGTCAATAGGAAATATCAATCAGAAGAATTATAATTTCTTGCAAAAATCTGTCACAAAAGAGGTTGCACATTTAAATGCAGGTGTTGTTATGGCAACGTCAGTGGCCAAACAGCCACATTTACTGCTGCATTTATACGTTCAAACATGCTGTCGACGTAAAGCAGTGGCATGCCACCATTTCAGCTGACTTTTTCTCAGAAATACTGTCACATAATATCCATATATTTCAGTGCTAGGTTGATGCTTAGCTAAGCTAACTATGAAACACTTTAACTGACAGGACTCAGGAATCAGGATCAACTGTGTACTGTAAGGTAGCTTCTAGCTTCATGTCGAACACAGACAGTAAGTCAACATTTCCCAGAGAGCTTTCTTTGAAATCACCAAGTAACGCTAAAAAACACAACATTTAGATTGTATGACAAAGTGTTTATTTAATATATCTGGCTAGCTATAGCTACTTGCTAACGGTTTAGCTTACCCGCGCGATTCAAAGTAACGTCAACGTGGCTATAATTTATGCTTTGCTTACATGTTGACATAACTTGTAAGTTTACTGACATGTACATACCTTGTTCACCTGGCTCAGGTGGTGGCTCTGGGGTTGTTGTGTGAGCCACCATTTGAGAATTGCCGTCTTTTTTATTAAAAAAATGTCTAATGTCCATCTTCAGAAACTCGGCGTCCGCAGCTGAAAGTTTAAACACTGTCACAGAGGAGAGGTACGTACCTGTCACTGTCAGCCAATAAAACAAGTTTATTTCCATGCAACTCTCTGATTGGTCTGGTGGTGTCTTGCCTCTGTTGCATTCACTGAACACGGGAAATTACAATCCTGCCGTCCTCTAGGTAAAGTACGGTTAATGTATTATATTATTGAGGGAGAATTTGTCCGGGGCTAAAGAAAAAACATCCGGGGCTTTAGCCCCGGATGCCTACCCCAGGCGACGCCCATGGTCCTACCTCTTTACTGCGGCAAATCCAAGCGGCAAACTGTGGGGTAGAGCCGGGAAGCCAATACGGAAGTGCCACACACTGCAGTTCATATATTGTCCGATAGGCGATGACTGCAGAAAGGAGCAATTTCCATAGACCCCCATGTTAAAATGCCCAACTTTACAGCAGAAAAAAACATGTTTCTACCCCTGGCTCCATACATTTTATTATCGATATAGTTAGATTTCACCTTCATGATTATGGATCTGTGAGTGAATTGTTTTCTAACGCGACCCTTTTATTTATATTAGGTCTTAAAGTTTGTGCATAAATTAGGGCGTAGTCACATTGAGTGACGGCTCTGTCAAGTGCCTGCCGCTGTTAGCTTCTTGTCTCTCTGCTAGCTGCTCCGTGAAGCTAGCTACAGGGACTCTGCCTGCTCAGCTCATCCAGGAAACACAACTTGTAGCCGGCCGTGGTTGTTTGTTCTTCATGCTTATATATCGGACTATTGTGACTCGCTCTGCGGTTAAAACAGACGGTGCATGAATGCGGTTTTGCGGTAAGTGAAATTCTAGTGCTTTATTTATGTGTTAATGATTTTAATCAGCCACGTAATGAATGGTAAGGCTTGGGTTAGCATGTAAGCTAGTGGTAGCTACATCGGTGCTAACGATTGTAATCGTAGCCTCCAAGTTAAAATCATAGACTGTATATAAAGGTTAAAACGAAATAGACAAGTGTTAAGTGGGATAATACTGTTGAACAAACGGCTTCTGTTTGAGGGTGATAAAATAAGGTTACATCCTTGTAACTTAGAGATATTTTATTATGTAGGTAGAACTGTATGCATCTAAGGTTAATTTAAATTGGCTACGCTCAAGTATGTAGACAAGCTAATGTCGAAGTAGTGTATGTGAAATCAACCTCACAATAAGATCTGTGTATATTACAATTATTAATGTCATATTTCAAGATGATTACTTAGATATTACAATATGGTTGGTTGAGCTGGAGTTCATTATTGAGCTTACACGTTACGTCACCGTCATCTGAAGAACGAACCCAAACCTTGTTGTTTTTATTAATTGCATTACCAAATGGGTATCAAATAAACAGTAAGCATTGGTAACACAATTTCCAAAGTTATAGTAAAATAAAAAGGACCCTGACTCGGACAATGCACAATCTAACATGTTCAACAGAAGAGAATCAGTTATATTGTTTGTACACATGGTACTTTACATATATATCTGTTTGTTTAAGGTGTCCAGGTGATGCAGACAGGCTGGACCACTAGTGCTGTAGCGACGGGTCGACGACGTCGACGCGTCGACTTCAAAATATCGTCGACGACATGTTTCCGCGTCGACGCGTCGCTACACACACGTGGGTCACCCAAAGCAACAAGCAGTTCGCAATCGCACTTCAAACACAATGGAGACTGAAACGGCTACCACCTCCTCCTCACAGGATTGCGCACGAAGCCCCCAAACAAAAACATCTCGCCCTAG